AGTTGCACTGATTAATCCTGCCCAGGGATACTCCAAAGCCAGGCAGTAACCCACCAACGAAAAGCAAGTACCGTTCTGAGATGGAGCAAAGATGTATCACAGAGTGACGGTCTCGTAGAAGTTGCGAACAATTCTGTAGTTGAACTGCTATGTCACTCCTACTATGTACTTACCATTAGTCTGGCAGAGTGAGTGGTGGGGGAAAGTGTATGATGTCTATACAGTGTCCCTTTCTGCTATGTTATGGTTAGCCCTGAATGGAGATCAGCTGATGTACAATTTATTACTGATATGAAAATTATTCAGATAGAATTTGATTTAGTTTTTTATGGTCGTCGAAAGAAGTATTGCGTTGTGGAAACGCTCGTATTATGAATCTTATGGACCGAAATTGGGAGCAACGCTTGTATTTCTCTCTGTAAGTTCAAATTCTTTAGTATAAAAACACTTCTTCTCCGATTAATTCTGGAAACATGCCTCTATGTCAGCGTTTCTACCAATAAGAGGAAAGAAAATTTCCTACAAAAAAAGTGGTCTTCGTTTGATCTAAATGAGATAACTAAGCCGCCCATTCGAAAGAAAGTACTTCTCACAAACTTCCTCAACAACTTTTTTGAAAGATGCTCTCAGATTATTCTTCCTATTGCGGCACTACTTCTTGCAATGAAAGGAGTTCACAGTCCACGAACTCCTATATATTGTGGCTTCATAGACAGTACCTCCGCCCGAAGTCTAATAGAATTCGCGTCAGTGATGTGTGGAATTAACCTCATCACACTGATCATAGCTGTAGTACTGCTATTCTTGAACAAGCTTCTCTCTAAACGGTACGTTGCTCATTTTACTCTGCCATATTGGAAAGCTGCATTTCTCGTCACAAATGTTTTAGAAAATCTTTCGATCTCAACTTATCCTATCAGCTCCGCGAAGGCGCCACAATTATTCGAATTATTCTCCCTCTGACATCATTTCAAACTATTTTTTGCTCGGTGTTTTTCGGCTGCATTCTCGTTTTCATATTAATCGAAGACGTGGTAGACGAAGTCACATTTCTGATTCTCAACGCTGCCGTATACGTGAGTGTCTGCTCTGATTTTCGCCCCACTCTACCAACTTTTTTTCCAACTTACCGGCATTTGATGTTGGGTGAGTTTTTCCTTGCCGATGACCGATCTTAAACTGAATATCACTCCTGCCGGGCTTCCGTCCAGATAGTAACACTCATCCACTCCACGTGGAGAAGCTATCAATTGTATCGGTCCGGGTTACTGCCCTCCCTCATCAAGCGAGCAACTCTAACTTAAGCAACCGAACACACCCCTAGGTCTGTGCCCCATAGTGAGCTGTTGCCCAAGTTCAGGATTATGATGAGCTTGTTGAGGTGGTGAATGAATGGCACTGAATGTTATAGACTTCCCAGGTTCGCTTCGCAGTGGCTATCGAAATAGACCTTCACCATCAAGAATAAAACTATTCTAACTCAGGTCCCAGTTAGTTTGTAATTTAAATCCCATTCGAACTTCATCATGTGATATCGCATACAGATATTGCATACTGAACTTTCCACATAGAGAAGAGCACCTAATTAAAAAGGAATCATACCAGCAGGCAGTACATACTGACTGGCGATAAAGCAAGCGCATCAAAAATCTAGAAGGTCCAGCATCGACGCCAGTGATCAAAGCCTCGCTGAGTAATTTTCATAGACGTCGTGCTCCGCGGAATTCGATTTCGATTAAAAAGAACGTTTCTGTACTATTCTGCAAAACTTTTTTGGATATATACTGTGGAAGCCATTGCCCTTTTGCCGCGCGGTAGCTCCAACGACGTTCCGCCACTGGCACTGGTATGTTTCCATGGTTCGAATTTCACAAGTTTAAGAAACAGATAACCAAGGGAGGGCTCTTGCTTTATTACAAGATCTGTAAGGGATCTTTTTCGCATTAATCGTTTTCGCTATTATTAATTCTCTTAATTTCAGATTATTCCCTACTATACAGTTATATCACCGATTTTGGTATGGTTTACAATACGATGGTCGCAACAGTTGAAACAATCCAGGCTGAAGAACATAGTGAATCAGACATCTATTGACTATTTCAATGTACAGAAGGAGATGTGGCATTGATAATCAATGAACTTTTATTAGTGGTTGACTGTTGTTGGCTGTAAATTGAGTTCCCGAGCCAGTGCTCCAACCTTTCACTTTTGAAGGCACACTTGAGTCACACTGTCCCCTACCCATCATCTCACCTAGCAAGTTTCGTTTAAACTAATGAGAGGGAAGCCTTTGCCATT